CCCCCCCCCCCCCCCCCCCCCCCCCCCCCCTGGAGCCCCGCAAAAAAGTCGATTCAAGATGGCTTCCAAAGAATAAGTTCCCGAATGACCGCGCCTGTTTTTGAGGCCCCTGAAGCCCCTCAAACGACTCAAGAACTCAAGATGGCTTCCAAAGAATAAGTTCCCGAATGGAAACATGTGGTTAACAAATCCATTCTGTTGACCACGTTGGTTTTCTTGTCCGCTCGAAACAGAAACATGTGGTTGACAAATCCATTCTGTTGACCACGTTTGGTTTTCTTGTCCGCTTGAAACAAACACATGTGGTTAACAAATCCATTCTGTTGACCACGTGCCTAGAGAAGAAGGAGGTTGGATATTTTTCCTAATGGTGTGGGACCCAATGGGCGGGTGGGTATTCCCCTGTGGCCTTGAAAGCTGCTCAACTAGTGAATGCTTGGACCAGAGATGCTGAACCCTAAACCCTAAACCCTAAACCCTAAACCCTAAACCCTAAACCCTAAACCCTAAACCCTAAACCCTAAACCCTAAACCCTAAACCCTAAACCCTAAACCCTAAACCCTAAACCCTAAACCCTAAACCCTAAACCCTAACCCAACTTGTGACGCAGTAACCAACAGCCATGATTTCTTTCGGAAACCGCTAGATAGGGCCCTGGCGGTGCCAGCGTTAGCCCTGCCCAGCAAAGGACTGAGGCCTCCAAGAGATGTGGTATCCTTCCTTTCCGGGTTGGTGAGGGTTCAGGGTTTAGGGTTTAGGGTTCAGGGTTCAGGGTTCAGGGTTCAGGGTTCAGGGTTCAGGGTTCAGTTTAGGGTGTAGGGTTTGGGTTGATGAGGATCTTCTTTGACCCTGAACCCCAAATAACCGAAATGCCCTAAGTACCCTGAAGCTACCCTATAGATACCCTAAATGCCCTAAGCTACAAACCCGAAACCCTAACCCCAAACCCCAAACCCGCGCACGAGGACGTGCACTTCATCGACTTTGCCGGCACCTTCCTGCAGCAAGACCGTAAGGTGCTTGTCATCCCGGAACTAGGATGCCCAGTAGTACCCTTATTCCCGTTTTGGGGGGTTTAGGTTCCCTTATAAACCCCTTTAAGCAAAGAAGGGTACCCTTTTTAAGCCTAGGTTACTGGGCAGCCTAGGGAAAACCCTAAGGTCAGAAGAGGGATTTAGGGTTTAGGGTTTGGGGTTTAGGGCTTAGGGGTTCACCCTCAACCCCAACGCCTTTAAGTGATTCCAGAATGTCAGAACCTAGAGCCAAACCCCTCAGGGTTTAGGGTTGAGGGTTTCGGGCCCTCTACACCGCATGCCAACCCCCCTTCCGCCCCAAGCCGTAAAACCTCACTTTCCCAAAGGCATACAGAGTGGGAGACCAAGAGGTTTAGGGTTTAGGGCTCAAGGTATACGTAGGGTTAGGGTTTAGGGTTTAGGGTTTAGGGTTAAGGGCTCAGGGTTCAAGAGACTTTGCAGGCCAAGAAAGGCTTCTGGTGAGAGAGAGCCCCCCGAATTCTTTTTAAAACATATCCTCATGAGGGTAGTACGGGGATTGTTCTCTTCTCTCTCTCTTCTATTGTTTTTTCTTTTTTTTTTTGGGGGGGGGGGGGGGGTGGTTCTCAAGCAAGGGCGCATGCCCTCCTATACCCTAACCCTTGAGCCCTCGACCCAAAACCAGAACCCTGAACCCTCAAGCCCTCAGAGTTTAGGCTGTAGGGGTTTAGGGTTCAGGGCCTATAGGGAAAACCCACAAATCCCGAAACCTATACTATCAGCTGCGCCATATGCCGTTCCAAGCAAACTGTCCACGGCGTTGAGCACTAACTCCTCAACCATCGACCAGACAGCATCCCAATTTGACCCTGTTTCGGCCCCTAGATCGCGCCCCTAAAAGCTCTAAAGCCCCTAAAACCCCTAAAACCACTGAACCCCCTAAAACCCTAAAGCCCCTAAACCCTAAACCCTGTCTGTCTCTGTCTCTCTCTGTCTCTCTCTCTCGCTCTCTCCTCCTTCTCGCTCGCGTTCTTTTTCTATTCGACTTGATGACACCGTTGTAGTCAACTCTTCTTACTGGTTCTTAGGAACTAAAGGAATGGGGCACTTTCTATATCGGGATTCTAACGAATACATCCATTCAATGGAGTATACTTTAGGGTACCTAATTCACCCATTCCCTGCCTACCACTTCCAGAATTCGGGCCAGTGGGGGCCTTCACAAACCCCGCAGACTCTCCTAACTTTACGCACCACAGAATAGGTATCCCTAAACCATACACCCTAAACCCAAAAACCCTATAAATCCTGGGGAAGGATGACTTCGCTTTAGCCCAGACTCGACGAGGAAGTTGTGAGCGGTGGGTGTAGAGTTTAGGGTTTGGGGCCTAGGGTGTAGGGCTTTAGGGTTTAAGGGTTTAGGGTTGGAATGTTCCTCCCTAGGGATTAGAATAGTGGGTGCGATAATCCCTATTAAGGACTGTTCGTATCAGGGGGAACATCCCAACTATCAACCCTTGTAAGCAATCCCTTAGATGCACTTCTGCTGTCTTTTGAGTTCACCTTCTCATGCACGTCCTGAACCCTGGGCACCTCCTCTAGTAGTGGCTTAGGGTTTAGGGTTTGGGGTTTGGGGTTTAGGGTCCCTAGGGTTTAGGGTTCTAGGAGTCTCAACACTAGCGCCCATATCTTGAACCCTAAAGCCCTACGCCATAAACCCTATAGCTATGTGTTACGGGGTGTAGGGACCTTACGGTTTGTAAGTTTAGGGTATAGAGCTTACCCTAAACCCTAAACCCTAAACCCTAAACCCTAAACCCTAAACCCTAAACCCTAAACCCTAAACCCTAAACCCTAAACCCTAAACCCTAAACCCTAAACCCTAAACCCTAAACCCTAAACCCTAAACCCTAAACCCAAACCCCAATCCCTAAAGCTTGTAAGGGTTCGGTTCAGGGAGTTTAGGGTGTAAGGTTTGGGGCTTTAGCCTGCTGCAGGTGCAGTGCTCGATGCCGCGAACTCGGCAAGCCTTCTCCGACACCCTAAAACCCTAAAACCCCCTAACCCTAAACACTAAGCTCGAAACCCTAAACCCTAAACCCTAAACCCTAAACCCTAAACCCTAAACCCTAAACCCTAAACCCTAAACCCTAAACCTATCAGGTAGCCTAACTCTTTACCAACCCAAAACCCTAAACCCTAAACCCTGCCTAGATTGCCACTGCAACACAGGGGGAATTCGCCATACCCCTGTCCTTACACCCCTTGGCCGAGTATCGTATATCAAGCAACCCCCCCCCCCCCCCCCCGGATTCGACTCCGCACCGTAAACCTTTTAGGGTTTAGGGTTTAGGGTTTGCTATACCCCACGCCCTACGCCCTTCTCGCTAGTAAAATCGGTTTTGGACACTTTGGGTGGTATTCGCTACTTCGATTCTGAGGTTTAAAGGAGGAGGTGTTTGGTTTTAAGGTTTTAAGATATTCGCTGTCGCAGCTTGCTATGGCTTATCACTAAAGTGCACGGGACTGTGGCCGCGGAAGCCCGCGGAAGGATTGCGGAAGCACATCTCTGCGGAAGCTCATTGCGTGTGCGTTCCAAGCAGTCCGCGGGTAGCGATCGAACCTCCTCCAAGTTTCAGCAGTGTTTCGTCGAGCTCGCTTGCTTTGGACCACACGA